AATTAAGTTTATTAAATTGTGTTCAGAGCAACAAATAAACATTGGAGAATGAATTGCAGTAAATTACAGCAGTACCTCTACATGTATCTCCAATTGTTCAATTATACTATTGTATGAATATGGATTTAAAGATAAAGCTTTTTTATCATTTTTATTTGGGATGTAATTACTTTTTATATAGGCTGGCAGATGTAGACGTTCAATAGACCAATGCCAGTTTAAGTTGGAGCTAATTTATTTAGTTGACATTAAGGAGTGGATAACTGCTGGCAGGATCAAATAAAGTAAATGGCATGTGACATGTGACCCGCAGTGGTAGGTTCAGCACCCTGGCGCAGCCGGTACACTCTGCAGAGGGCCAGGTGTCCTAGATGGGCGTGTGCGTACATGCGCACACCACTGCCTTGCGACACCCATCTGCCTGGTGGAGGTCACGCAGGCACAATGGGCCGGTCGCGATATTAAACGTTCATAGAACGCAGGTGGTCCAAACAAGCCATCGTACCGGTACGGTGGCTGCTTCTCCCAGAACCCACTGGTATGTGGACAAGGATACTTCTGCATTAAGAGTGATTGATCTGTTAAGAATGATACTTCTGTTTAGTTTAATGTTCCCTGCTGACAGTAGGACTGTATGAAATTTCTTGGTATGCATGAACTTTGATTAAAAGGTGCATGAAAGTAATCTGTAGTACTGATAATTGATCATTTTTGCTGAAAAAAAGATCTCTTCACTTGAAAACACATCTTCTCTAGCCCAAGTAGAAGGTGAACCGTTGATCTGTGGTAAAGTACCAGTGAATTCAGCTTCAGGGAAGCCAGATCATTTTTTAAACCTGCAATTTACAAAGAATCTTTTTCGGGAAGATATTTTTATGATGGAGATTCTACGAGGAGGATCAAATTAGTTTGTGGTAGCAAAAAACAGGAGTTTAGTAGTACCTTTTCTGATTAATGTTTTTAAAGGTTAGCAAAATGCTACCACAGTTTGGAAAAAGTGCTACCAGATTCCTTCTGATCTCCCCCCCCCCCCCAAACGATGGGATGGTCATAGAAAAAAAGCACCTCAGAACTGCTTTAAACCTATGTTTGTGCTTGTCAAAGCTGTACTCCATTGTTGACAAAGGGCAAAAATATAAAGAAATGTGAAATAAGTTGGGCATCTTCTGAAATTCACTGAATCATTGTTCTAGGGGGCTTCTGTCACTTTTTAATATTTGAAAAGAAAATTTCCTAGCTAAACCTGGGGATAATTTGCAAATCTTTCCCCCTCTCCCCAATCTATTCAGAAGTAAATAAGGCAATCATTTATACATGTGGACCACAGGATACCTTGCTTATAACAGGCAAGCAATTGTAAGAGCCTGAATTTCGTGACTTAATTTACATATTAAAAACAAATAAGTTATAGAAAAACAAGTTATAGAAGTTATAGTTACAGAAGCCCCTTTGGATAGGCAGGTAAACTAAATAGCAACTTTAAAGATCATAAGTACATGAACCTTCTAATTTCCTTTGATATTTGTAATACACAAAAATGGTAAAAGCTGAGAATTTTCTCTATTAATAGATTAGGGAACTGGAGCTGATTCATATATTAGGCATCCATAACTGCATCTAAAAATATATTTTCACTTTATTATGCGCACAAGTGTTCTCGCTTCCCTTTGGCTATGGGAACCAATATTAAAGACCAGTTTTATACAGACATTTATTTTATTTATTACTTGTGCCTTAAATAGAAAAAATAGCCCTTTGACTTGCGATTACAATTGAATGCAAAATTTCTGTTGCTAAGCGAGACAGTTGTTAAGTGAGTTTTGCCTCATTTTATGATCTTACCAAGTTGTTAAGTGAATTGTTGCAGTTGTTTAGTAACACGATAGCTAAGTGAATCCGACTTCCCCATTGGCTTTGCTTGTAAGATGATCACATGAGCCCAGAACACTGCAACCATCATAAATATGAGTCAGTTGCCAAGTATTTAAATTTTGATCATGTGATTATGGGGATGCTGCAATGATCATAAGTGTGTTATAAGTGTTATTAAACTGTTAAAAATATTTTTTAGTGCCTTTGTAACTTTGAATGGTCATGAAATGAACTGTTGTAAGTTGAGGACTACCTGTGATGTGTTATTTGGTTATGTATTATCTTATTTTGTATGGATGTTCAGGGATTGGAATATTGTAACTTATTTGCAGGTACATAAGCTTTAGTTCTGCCAGAATTGTAGTGGGTGGAGTGGTTAAATACTTTCTAGGTGTTCCATACTGTATACTAGGTTACCAATGCATCCCATTGGATTATCTTGTAAATTGTTTTTGCTGTTCATTAATTTAGAATGACTACTGCCCCTTTGTGATAGGCAAATTAAATAATATTTAGGATATCTGATTTAAGCCTTACCCAAACTCTTCATTGTTTTTCTCTCTCTCTAGAGATGTACAAAATGGTCCATGCAAGGTAAACTGGATTTGTATAATTCACATCTAAACAAGGAGGCATATTCCATACAGAAGTGTTTTGGGCAGATGGTGTAAGAAAATGTCAAGAACATTAGGGCAAAGTGGTAGCTAAAGGCAGATAAGGAAAGGAAGGCACCGGGTAGATTCAGAAAATGTGTGGGTGATTGGATGTGCCATTCCTGAAGCCAGAGATTTTGGTTGTAGTTATGACAGATAATGAAAAGAAGATGAAGCAGGTGGTTTTGTGGCTGCAACAAATGTCTATACAATTGTATTTTGGCAATTTCATGAGATTTCGTGTGGCATTTTTTAATAGAAAGGATATTATGATGTGCTCTGTTATATTGTTGCCTTAGTTACCAGAAAACTAGTTCTGTAAAGAGGTAGAATCTAGAGTTTCATTTCCTTGCCAAAATGTATAATACAGGGGTGTCAAACTCAAGACCCATGGCCCGGATCTGGCCCATGAGGTGCTTAGATTGGGCCTGCAGGGCTGCCCTACAAAAAGCAAAAGACCAGCCGGCATTGCCTCTGCCAGCAAAAATAGAGCTTGCAAGAGCCGTGGGTGGACCTCCTGAGCTCCGTTTTTGATGGCAGAGGGTTGCAGAAGCCATTGCAGCCGAAAACTGAGCTCAGGAGCTCATTTTTGCTGGCAGAGTGCTCAGCCTGCCAAAGGTACCTCCAACATGAGTGATGTCAAGGTGGCCACACCCATCCTGGCCATAACTACCCTGGCCCCCCAAGGTCAAACACAACACTGATGCGGCTCTCAATGAAATCGAGTTTGACACCCTTGGTGTAACAGGTCCCTGAATCATTTGAATGTGTTTTCTTAATATATAACTTGAAGAGTATATAACATCTAAATTTATATCAGCAGATATGTGGATGAAAAATAACTGGTAGCATTAAAATGATGAAATTTGTTTTTTTGGAGCTCTTCATTTTAATCTTTTTCTCTTAATTCCTGCTTTTTCTAAGTTATTTCATTTTCAGTGGTTTTGAAAAATAATCAGATATTGTTACATTATCTGTTCCATTTTATAAGATGGTCAACTTGATTAAATTTATTGAATTCTATCTGTATTACATCCAGAGCATTCCCTTAATCTACTAATCTAGTCATTGTAATCATTGAGGAGCTGTTTTAGTTTGTAGTTGTAAAAAAAATCTGGGATGTGGTAATACATTTCCTAACCAATAACTTTTAGTGAAAGGCTTACACTTTTATGAATTGCAATTTTTACTTCATTATGTGCTACCAGGAGCCTTCTAATCTAGTCAATTATTTTTAAAAAGCCATAAAATCTGACATAGCCTGTGTTTGACAAACTCATGCAGGTTTCAGATAATTATTTTGTTACTTTCTAAGTGCTTGCAAACAGACTGCTTTATGATATTTCTATGATTTGTTTAGTTACTAAAGTCAAGGTGATTTGTCTAGTTTTTTCCCTTTCTGAAAGATCAGAACAGTGTTAAACAGCTCTTCCATTCTGTTCGTCTGATGCTTTCCCTACACGAAAGTTCTCAAAGATTACAGTTAATGGTTTTGAGATAATATTATCTAGTACCTTAACAGCCAAGGATGTAATCCATCTGACCCAGTGGCTTGAATTCATTCAAAGTAACTACTGTTCCTCTCACCACTTATATGCCTGTTTTAACCTTCACTTCTCACCTTCTGATAGTTGGACCTCTTTTTCCTTTTGTGAAACTACAGATGCAAAGTAGGAGTTAAGGAGTTCGGCCTTTTCCCTGTTGCCTTCTTTTCCAACCAATGGAATGTCTGTTTCCTTAATCTTCTCATACTTCATCCAAAGAAATATTTTTGGTTATTTTTGCTTTCCATGCAAGCCTCCTCTCATCGAGACCTTTAGTCTTTCTAATCCCATTCTTAAAGAGATTTGGACTATTTTCTAATATTCTGCTTTTGTTATATGGCCCCTCTTCTCATTTAAAAAAAATTGTCCATTTTGTTTCTCAGTTTATCAAAGAGTTCTTGCCAACTATACCAATAATATTACCTGTCTCTTGTTTTTTTTTCTAGTATTGTTTTAATTTGCTCCCTGATTAATCTTATTTTTCAGAATTTCCTAATGCTGCTGAACTATTTTCCCTTTAGCATTTCCATCCATGAAATCCTTCCCACATTTTTTCTTAGTTTATTGCAGTCACCTCTTGAAACATAGAACACTAATCTGATTACCTTTAATTCTCCCTGCCTTCAGTATGGTGAATTCTAGGATGATATGATAATTATTTCCCAAGGTTTCCACAACTTCCACTTCCTCAACCATTTCTTCATGGAGGAAATGTACAACTTCAGTAAAAAAAAAAACCTCCTGAACTCATTACTTTCCTAGAAGTCCTCCATCTTGTCAGAATTTAGCTTTGGTCAACTAGAGGTCACCTGCACTTAGACATTATCATTAGACTTTTTTTGAAAAAGAAAAATCCATATTGAATATAGAACATGAATATATAAAGCATGTTCATCTTCAAGCTTTGAAGAAATTATATGAAAAAAATGTGTATGTACACAGCTACCATAGGGAAAGGGAACTGCGTACAATGAAGATCAGTTTGGAGAAGCAAATGAATAGGAAAAGGAACATACAATTATAATTTCCCACATGATTAAACTTTTGCAATTAAGTTTACAACATTATTGATACAATATAACACAGAAACATCAAGTTTGATAAATCATGTTTGGAGATAATTGTGATTCTGAAAGAATTAAATGGTGCAATATATATAAATCCAGAATAGACTTCTTCTGTGATACTGATTTACCATCATTTTGAATAACAAATTTTTTTGTGTAATTAAGTTAATGCTTAGTAGTAATGCAAATTTGGTAGTTTATTTAGAAAAAGCATGCACTTTCTTTTTCTTTACTAATATATCTTGTTTACAGTCTTTGAAAGTTATATGTTAAATTGTGTAAAATTCAACATTGCATTTCAAAGGGAGAAAAAGCTATGTTCAACTACTTGTTATGACAGAATTCAAATTTTTCTGGTGCATAGTAAAGCCTTCTCTAATTCAATCTTTATCTTTTGTTTTTGCTGCCTTGCAGGGTTGGTACAGTAGGCCTCACTAAACTTAGCTGCAACTAAGAATTTATCCTACATCAACAAAGTTAATGATGATACTCTTGTGGATTGGAGAATAAAAGAGCACACTAAGTATTTAAGAAGCGGAAAAAAACACATTTTATCTTCTCAGATTTATACTGCATTCACTGCTATCAAGACAGCAAACCAAAGGACAGATTTTTGATCCACAGTGTGTGTAAAACTAAACTGATTTATCTTGCTAAGGCTCGGGGTTTATGACCTGGACACCAACATTTGGAAGTTACTTGTTTTACAAAAATGAGGGCGGCTTTGCAACCAGCAGACATTGCCATTGTGGCGCTCTATTTTGTGCTTGTTTTGTGCATAGGCTTTTTTGCCATGTGGAAATCCAATCGAAGCACTGTAAGTGGGTACTTCCTTGCAGGGCGATCTATGACATGGGTTGCAATTGGTGCTTCTTTGTTTGTAAGCAACATCGGAAGTGAACACTTCATAGGGCTTGCAGGATCAGGAGCAGCAAGCGGATTTGCCGTGGGGGCATGGGAATTCAATGCCTTAATGCTTTTGCAACTTTTGGGATGGATTTTTGTTCCGGTCTACATACATTCTGCAATATACACCATGCCTGGGTACTTATCCAAACGCTTTGGAGGGCACAGAATTCAAGTATATTTTGCTGTTTTGTCTCTAATTCTCTATATCTTCACCAAACTCTCAGTAGATTTGTATTCGGGAGCATTGTTCATTCAAGAGTCATTGGGCTGGAATATTTATTTATCAGTGACACTTTTGATTGGAATGACTGCATTGCTGACAGTGACTGGAGGTCTTGTGGCAGTTATCTACACAGACGCAGTTCAAGCTTTGCTTATGATTATTGGTGCCTTCACACTTATGATCATAAGTATTAGAGAAGTGGGTGGCTTTGAAGAGCTTAAACGAAAATACATGTTGGCCATACCAAATGTTACATCAATTTTATTGACACATAATCTTTCCAGTACTAATTATTGCCATGTTGACCCAAAACCGGACGCACTGAAAATGTTACGTGAGCCAACTGATGAAGATATTCCTTGGCCTGGTTTCATTTTGGGACAGACTCCAGCTTCTGTATGGTACTGGTGTGCAGACCAAGTAATTGTCCAGAGAGTGTTAGCAGCAAAAAATATTGCTCATGCTAAAGCAGCCACTCTGATGGCAGGTTTTTTAAAACTCTTACCTATGTTCCTTATAGTTATTCCAGGTATGATATCACGGGTATTGTTTGCAGATGATATTGCATGCATCAATCCAGAACATTGTATGAAAGTTTGTGGAAGCAGAGCTGGATGCTCTAACATTGCCTATCCGCGTCTGGTAATGAATCTTGTTCCTGTTGGTCTGAGGGGCCTTATGATGGCTGTAATGATAGCTGCTCTAATGAGTGATTTAGATTCTATCTTTAACAGTGCCAGTACCATCTTTACACTTGATATATATAAGCTCATAAGGAAGACTGCATCATCCAGAGAACTGATGATTGTTGGAAGAATTTTTGTCGCTTTCATGGTTGTAACAAGCATTGCTTGGGTCCCAATAATAGTGGAAATGCAAGGAGGACAAATGTATCTATATATACAAGAGGTAGCAGATTATTTGACTCCTCCAGTGGCTGCTATATTTCTTTTAGGTGTATTCTGGAAGCGCTGTAATGAACAAGGGGCCTTCTTTGGTGGGATGATTGGATTTGCTTTAGGAGCTACACGGTTGATTCTGGCATTTATCTATCGTGTCCCTGAATGTAACCAGCCAGACACTAGACCATTTTTCATCAAGAATATCCATTATATGTATGTTGCTACTGGACTGTTTTGGATCACTGGAATTGTGGCTATAATAGTCAGCTTTTTGACCCCACCACCTTCAACAGAACAAATTCGTACAACTACATTTTGGTCTACAAAAAACAGAACTGTAAAAGAAAGCACATTAACAGGCAGTCCATATGAAGCACAAGAAAAGAATGTGTTAAAGTATGGTGTAGTGGTATCTTCAAATGGGAAGTCTGAAGATAATGTTAAAAATGAACAGCCTGAAAATGTCAATCTTCTAATTACTTCCAGAGATGACAGCAATCCAGTGATTTCGTTGAACTCTGAAGTTGAAACACCAGTTGATTGTTACTCTAATGGGCAGGCAGCGCTTATGGATAACAAGAAGAGTGAAGAGGAGATTGGGAGTAATGACAAAGATTGGAAGTTTATAGATTGGTTCTGTGGCCTTAAAAGCAAAAATGTGAATGAAAGAGCCACCCAAGATAAGAGGGAAGAAGAGACTATCTGTCTACAAATGCTGGAAGAGACTCCAAAAGTTAAATTATTACTTAATTGTGGATTATTTTGCGTGTGTTTTCTTGGAATATTCATGTTTGTTTATTTTTCTTTGTGAACAGTTTTTTAAGAGTGTGGCCTGACATTCAAAACACACAACTAGTCCTTGGAGAAATATATAATTATGTGTGTTCTGTGTCATATCTCAGGCTTCCTTTACATTATTGTTCTTAACCAGTTTGAAAATCATTACAAAACCTATAGTTTAGTGTTTTTATTTCAGTGCAGAATGGGGATTTTATTCAATACCAAAAGTTGAATTTCAATACATCAAAGTAAGAAATTAGTTTATTAAAATAATCATTTGCAAATGGTCAAGGTGAAACTAGTGTTAATGTTGGTACTAACACTTCAAATATTGGTAAATTACACATATACAATTATGAGTCATCTTAATAATTTCTGATTATTTTCCTTTTACCCAGTACTCAAAACATTGTTTTTGACTAGGTTCCCAACAAATATCTAAGTATTAAAACTGAATTACACAACTCTTGATAATTCATATCATCTAAAATTATGCACCACTAAATACAATACTTCCCTTTCTCCATTCACTAGATGAAGTATTTATCAATAATAGCAGTAAGTTTGAAGAAAAATTCAAATTACACAGAAAGAATGGTCCAGTTTACATCTCCCTAGTTGATACTCTGACATTGATTTAGGTCTCCATTGCAAATTATGCTATTTGGTATTATAGTTCAAATTACCTGGAGACAAAATGGCAGTCTAAATGGTGGTAAGAGGGAAAAAAACACCTCAGTATTTTCAGTTAAAAACACTTTTTTGTTAAGTTGGGATGTTTTCATAAAATTAAATTTACACATTAACATTGTAAGATTATAGTGATTCCTCCAACCTCTTGCAGAATGAAAAGCAAAAAAAACCTCTAACATCCTCTGTGAAATCTTTTTCACGGTGTAAAAAAAAGCCACTGTGAAATAAGCAATTTTGTACCAAAGACTTTTTTTTAACACCCTTTTCCAGGGTTGGACTTCAGTGACACCCCCCCCCCCCCAATCTTTCCAGCAGTTTAGATGAGGGCTTATGTTCTTCTTCTCAGCCACCATATCAACCTTCCCTCCAGTGTTCCAATCGTCTCCCCATGCATAAGCCAAACAAGCCCTGGGTTTTAGTTTGCGCTCAAATAATGGAAAGTCAGCATTTCCATGCATGGAAGAATCTCCTGTTCTGAGGCTGTAGTTTTAGCAAAGGCAGAAAAATGAATCTTACCTGCTCCCTATGTTGTGCCAGTTTTTAATACCCAGTTTGAAATGCATGAGGAGTAATAGATGCACTCTCCATTACAGCTCTGGCCTTCACAGCATCTAGAGGATGACTGAAATGGCAGGGCCAATGGAAGCAGGGACTGGCAGACACATAAACTTACGACTTTTGACAATCGTATCATTCCTAACTGGCTAGAGGGAATTTGTCCTTTGTTTAGAATTGAGCTCACCTCTGCAGTTTTGCAACAAAATGCATTCTTGCACTTAAAAGTGGTAAAGTTGTGCCCCATCAGATGCTTTGTACTTCTCTTGCTCCCTGGTCTTTGGTCATGCTATCTGCAATGATGGAAATTGAAATATTCCAACATTGGAGGACCATAGGTTCTGACTAATTGGGACTGCAGAACTGAAGTATCTTATACAAAAACACATGTCTTTTCTTTTTTATCTGTACCTTAGAACAGATTGAGATTGCAATGACTATTGTAACAGCAATAGTAGGCAGGTATGATAACCAAAAATTGACTTGACTCATTGGCAATATCATATTGAGTCATTTTGCTTTAGAATTTTTCTTACAAGATTGGTGAAAAAATGTCATTTATTACTGAATAATAAATGAATTATTATGGCATTAATTGACATTTATTACTGAATGATGGAATTAATATGAAAAATCTAGAGACATTAAATAGTGGTTTCAATCTTGATTACATGAAATAATTTTAAAAGCAGTGTATGTATTTTGTAAATACTGTAGCAATGTTATGTTTTTGTTGTCTTCTACCATGAATTGAGCTTCTTTGTGTACAGGACCAAAAAGCCTTTTCAAGGCATGTGTAATAAATGCTTCATTGATGCTTTAAAAAAGTGCTTTAGAGCAGGTAGTGGGATATTTTGGTGCTTCACAAACTCAAATGCATATTTTCCTGGGCTACAGCTGCTTTATAAGCCCAGAAAAAAGTACAGCTTCTTTAAGGAGGTATTGACTGATGTGGCATGTATGTTCATGCTGGCTCCAACGTTCCTTTTTGGCTTCAGATCTGAAGTAGTGCACATCTTTTGCCTTCCTTGACTAGAGACACCAGATGATGCTAGTGATGAAAGGTGGATTTCTCCTGAGGTAAGGTAGCATTTCTCTTTCTAGTACTTTCAGTATGTTGAATGAGTTGCTAGCATTGACATGCAGATTGGCTAGCTCAGGGATCTATTTCCCTTCCTTTCCCTCGAAATGCCTTGAATAGCCTTACAGACACATTAAAATAGCCGTGTCCAATACTCTCACTGTCTTAATTTCAAGTAACTTAGTGTGTGTGTGGTATTCTGAATACATATGACAGAGTTCATTCTGAGTCTATTTGAAATTGGACCAATTAACCAGCAAGGGAAACGTTGCCACATTTTAAAAATGTATCAACTCTGTTTGGGAATTCTAGTAACATTCCCTTTTCTACTTTATATAGTTTAGACTCGGGATAGTGAATCTGTGGCACGCGGAGATATTTGTCAAGGCACGTGAGGCGCCCTATCAGCTGGCCAGCGCGCATGTGTACACTGGCCAGCTCAGCTGACTTCAGCCTTTTTTTGAGGCCATTTTTCACCCTCCCCAGGCTCCAGAGGCTTTATGGGAGCCTGGGGAGGGTGAAAATAGCCTCCACCCCCCCCCCCCGAGGCCCTCCGGAGGCTTCAGGAGCTTCCCTAAAGCCTCAGGAGCACAAAAAACTGGCCCTACGGGCAAATCGGAAGTTCGGGTTTGCTCTTCAGCTGTTTTTGCACTCTGGAGGCTTCAGGGAAGCTCCTGAAGCCTCGGGGGGGGGGGCTGTTTTTGCCCTCCCCAAGCTCCTATAAAGCCTCTGGAGCATGGGGAGGGCGAAGAAAGCATGCAAAAATGGGAGCGCTGGTCATGCATGCATGCGCACTGGGGTCGCACATTGCATTATGGGTATGGCACGCCTGTGCTTGACCCCCCCCTGCACTACCCCCCTTTTGGCACGCAAGCCAAAAAAGGTTCACCATCACTGGTTTTGACTGTATAAATACTATTAATAAGTTTAGTTTTTTTGTTATGGGCTTTTGTTTGATTGACAAAATGGAAATCCTGAATAATGCTTCTCTGCCTTTTGACTAAGATCCAGTGTAGTACAGGCAATCCTTAATCATAATTGATGGCACGGTTACAGTCATAAGTCACACTGATCAATTAACCAGATTATCATATAACTGACCTGATTTTACAACATTTCCTGCCGTAGTTATTAAACAAATTACAATGGTCATTAAGCACATCTGCCACTCTTAAGCAAATGACGTGGTCATTAAATGAACCCATTATCTACAACTGGCATTTTTGCTGAAAAACACAAGTAAACCTTGGTGTCTGGCAAAATACATAAATTGCAGTTGTGACCATAAAGAGCCATAAATGCATGATTGTAAGTTGAGGACTATCTGTATCATGTCAACATGTCAGGTGCAGAAAATGAGTCCAGAATAGACCATGCCATTTATGGTAATAATAGTTTCCAAATCACTTTGGAATTAACAGTGAGCAAAAAGCTATTTGAATACAATGCACAATTATTGGAATACAGTATGTAGTGAATGCTATTGTGCTTATTTATTGAAATCTCTTAAACTTGAATTAGGGAACCAGTTTGCAGACATTTTTTAAAAATGGTTATATGGGACATATGGATATCGTAATCAAATGGGTAAAAGCCAGTTTTTCCATTTTAAAACATTTTTTGGGTGGTGGTGGTGGTGTTACAGTGCAATAATCTTTCTAAAGGTACAATCAATGATTTTTACCCTCCCTTCCACCTGTAAAATCAGTGCTCACTGGTACTACTTGATGATTAACTCCTGAGCTGCTGCAGTGATAGAACAGGATTTTGGGGCTATATGTAGCTACAGTATAGGTTGTTTATAGGTTGCTTACCTTTGGTTAAATTGTTAAGTGAGCAGTCAGGTCACAATTTAATACTTTTTTTTTGTTAATTAGGGTTGATTGAAGTAGACTGCAGTCCTTCCAAGTTCCTACTTAACATAGAAATATGGTATCCTCTTGTTTATGAGGGTTTGCTAAGGAGTATGACATTTTGGAGCACTTTTATTGGTTGCCATGGTCTAAGATGGTTGTCTATACTGGGCTGCATAATGTTCTAGAATGTGACAACCCTGTTTTTGTTATTTGTTTGTAATAGAGGAAGATCTAAGTGTTAACTTCAATTTTAATTATTTTATAAGTATAAGAATCTTATTTTAACTGAACTTTCTATATTCCTTTATTCTTACTACTGAACATTTCTTTTATATAATTCTTCAAATTAAGAAAGTAAGTGTGTAATAGCTTGTTATAGTGCCTTTTAGTAGCAAAGTATAACCTTGTCAGGTTGCCACATCTCATTGTGATGAAAACGTTTATTTTTTGCTGACTTCACATTTCTATCTATGCCATAAAGGAGCACATATATTTTTCTAAGTAGAACAGTAAGTCTAGTCTTGAAGAACTAATTAAATAGTAAATCATAGCCTACATTCATTGTTAATGGCCGTTCAGTATTTATTTTTACATTAACAGAAGGCATAGTATATACAACAATCTCTCAAAAATTATGTTCTATGTACCTCTAGATTATATAGCCCTTTTGTATGTAACTATATGTATAATATGAAAGGAGATTGTCCCCAAATAAAATCACACTAGCCTCTTGCAACTTAACTGTAACAAGCTCTGTTAGTATATCTGCAAATTAGGGATATGTATAATTTTAATAAAGATGAACAATCCTAAGCTTTTAATACCACTGCAAAATCAATTCTAATAAATAACACTGAATAGGATTCCAACTTGGATGACCATTTTGACTGTCCTAGAAATTCTTTTACATTCCATGAATAAGTGTCTATTGGTCTTCTAATTAGCAATGTAGACTCTCTAATTAATAATGATCCTTCTATTTTACAGTTTAGTGTACAATTTCTGGTAGTATTCAAACAAAAATGCAAATTTCCCATGGATCAGCCTTACTTCTTAACACCTAAGCAATTGTCCAGTGTGTGTAATAGTTTATATTTGCCTTCCTCAGTCACAGCTGCTGTCTAATCCTGGAATTCTGGTAACTGTTGTCTAGAACATCTGGAGAAGCTTTATCTATGGAAAGGTGTATGAGGGATTTATTTTTGTGCTATATTCAGGGAAATCATAGCTTCTATTCTGGAAAATATTTTATTCTCTTTTTTTTTGCCAAAGTCGTCCTACCATCCCATTTCGCTGCTATACAAATACAAAAGAAGATGGTAAGCTGACTGCTTACTTTTCTTTCTATCATTTTAATCTAGTATTTTAGTGTCCTTGCACATCAGAAATCCTTTCGAATGAATATTTTCCTAAATGGAAAAAAGAAGGGTGTGGGCTGTAGGCTGTCAAGTTCTATATCTATAAGGAAAATTAGAAAACAATTGTCAGAAAACAATGATTTATTAGCACACCTTTATTTTAAATTCTTAACCTAAGGTAAATTATTATGTATTATAGGAGTTGTCTACAAGAGAGACCCCCCCCTCCCAAAAAAACCCTGCATACTGAATTCAGAAATTTAGTTTTTTAAGGAAAACTTTAAATTATGTATTTGAACTTAGAAACTTAATTGTTTGGTATATTATGTATTCTGTGCCTTTAATGTTTTGAAAATAAAGATAGTGTCATTACCGTATGTATGATGTTATGAATTAAAGGTGAGTAAAGTACTTAAACCTTTTCAAAAAATGTGTATAATTCAGTGGTGTTTAAATGTATTTTTGTTAGCCTTAGAATAGTTGAAATGTAAGTACATTTAATAAGAGTCCTTATTTCATTGAGTTTTTAAAATCTTGCTTACAAAATAACACTCATTGGTATGCGCGCGCACACACACACACACACACACACACACACACACACAAAATTGTTCTGATTTTGTGTAAAATGTTCCATAGTGCTCTAATGATCCTGCTTTTCTGTAAGATTCTTCATGGGCAAAGTCAGGTACTGAGCAATGATGGCATACGACAGTATAAGTGTTTATGAACACATGCTTTTAAATAAGGTGGATATAAAAATAGTTGCTGTGCAAAAAAAACCTAGTAGTCTTCTTCAAGAAGAAAGCAAGTTCTTTTATTAAGTAAATAGCTTTTTCTTCATCCTTTTAAGTTTTAAATACAATGTCAGTGTGATGCTAATTTTTCTTTCACCTTTGGATATATAAGTATACTTTAAAAAAAAGTTTGCTACCTTGTTTTTGTTGTATTTACTGCAGTGTGTAAATTAGAAGTCAATAGTTTTTAAAAAGATTTCACAGAGCAAAAAAAAAATAGTAATGTGCAACATGTAAAGTGTTTAAACTTTAGGGGAAAAAGAACCAACTAAGCATAAATACGTATAAACGTACTTCTAGATGTCTTAAATAAAAAATCTTAAATGCCCATGATTTGTCCATAAAGGACATGTTATTCAATGAAGTAGAATTATCACAGTAGGAATATAGATCTAGAAATGTTAAAGAAATGAATATTTCTTGATGGAACATTACTATGATTTGTCATGGAATGAATGGCTTAAGTATAGAACTTTGTCAATATGATATTGAAGAAAACTGTTTTGGAGAACTTTGTTCTTATTGCTAGTTGGATGTATATTGCTTGTTGTATACTGTATCTGTATTTTTGCCTCCTGAATTAGTCTTCAACATGGAACTCTTATTAGAGTATCTGTATAATTAAAACTGTATTTCTTGCAGTTTATATTTTTTGAATATAAGTATAATCTTTATTGTCATTGTACTTAAATACAACAAAATTGTTTATATAAAATTTAGTCTTGTCCAAGTTACTGTGTGGAAATGTTTAAAACTTCTGTACAAAGTTTAAATAAAAAGTACAAAAATGCAAGTATTTCTGAAATGATCTTAGAAGTTTATGAAATAAACTCAGTTGGTGAATATTCTTGAGCGTCTGCTGTGTCTGAAATTTTTATTCAATTTTGTTAAGAGATTATTTATGATATTCCAATTTAGACAGTGGAAATTAACAGAAAAAGGGCGTTGGTTCTTACCTGAGGCGCCTCTTCTCATAGGTTGGAGGCAGCATCTAGGCTGGGTTAACCTTCATCCACTCATCGCGAGGACCAAGTCTGGTAAAGTTATTAAGCCTCGCCCCTGTTGCTGAGCAACCCAGCTTTTTGACGAAAAACTCCAGACCCAGTGCGTCATCCGTCTCAGTCGTTATGTACATATAACCCGGCCATCAACATGAATATTCCTGCTGAGTTTTCTAATGTAGAGGTCGGTCACATAAGTGAATCACATAAACAGCATAATCAATTAAGGACAAAAACGGCCCCTTTTTGAACCAGTTCTGTGCAGGGAGGGGCTGGATGCTGCTCCACCCTATGAGAAGAGGCGTCTCAGGTAAGAACCAGCACCCTTTCTCCATAGTGGTGGAGGCAGCATCCAGGCTGGGACATACCACAGCTGTACCTGTCCCAGGGAGGGTCTAAGACCGGTTCGGTGAAGTCT